TATGGGAAGTGGGGGGGAAGACAAGAACCCAGAAAATAATGAAACATATAGGGGAATCTTTTTATTTGTGTGTATTTATTTGTGGGCCCTGGGGCCCCTTCAATATAGTACTGGTATGTCTCTGTCCGTCCCAGGGAAGGCGTGCCCTTGCGTGCTCCATGCGGGGAGTGCAACACGGGGGGGGGGGGGGACGTGGTGGAGCAGGAGAGAGGCCGGGCGCCGAGGGGCGGAAGGGGGGGCGCGAGGCGTCGGGAGGCGTGGCGTCGAGAGGCCTGGCGTCGGTGGGCGTCAAGAGGGCAGGGACAGGGAGAGGGATAGCCGGGTCGAGGGGCATGAATGAACCGCTTCGCGACGCGAGTCGGAAGCGGCACCGCGCCAAGAGGACTTGGCTCGTCTCGAAGCCTGATCTTTAGGCCACTGCCCAGCACGGAACCTCTCGGGATGTCTCCGACAGGCCTTTCGTACGAGGCTCAGAACTCTGCTCGGCCAGTGGCTTCCGAGTAGGAGGTCGTTGTGTGATACCCGATCCCGAACCGAACCTCCGCATCGGTTTGGGAGGTCGCCTCGGCGATCACGGCGGCCACAAGTCTGGGCAAGGCTCTTGTCAAGGAGTGGCGTGCCTTTTTTCCCAGCCCTCCCCCGCTCTGCGATGCAGGCGTGGCTCACACTCAACAAGATAGCCACAGAGCCTCGTCAACTGATCCTCAGCAGGGGCAGGCTTGCGGTTGTCACGCGATGGCGGCAGGAGGGCAGGGGGGGAGACAGGAGCCCTCGCAGGCGAGCACACACCTCCGCATCCGCATCCGCCGCACCCGCTGCCTCGCGCGCTGGGCCCCCGAGCTGCGCCCCCGCGGCCGCGGAGCGTTTTTTTCTCGCGGACTGCCCCGCGCGGAGCGCATCCGTGCGACCGCGCGTCCGCGGGATCGCTCGGACGGGGCCAGGACGGGGATGAGCCGTTCCAGAGCTCGACTAGGGGATCGACTAATTACAACATTGATTTAACCCATAATTGATTTCCCGCCGAATCTGCGAACAGTGCGTATCATGTCCCGCAGATCTGTGGGCATTCCATACGCGTTGCTTCGCATCCGGCGAGGAAGCACGTTCTGACGGAAACCAGTGCTGTGGTCGATTCCCCATTTGCAGAGCGTTCCAGAACGCGCTCAGAACGCTCCGAGAAGGCCGCGGCGCCAAGGACGCCCTCCAGTTCCGCCGCATCTCAGCGATTCTCGATTTATCCTCACTCGATTTTGTCCTCGTCCTGGCTTCGTCCCTCCTCATCGCGCCCCTGAATCCAGACCGCGAGGGCGCGGACGCGGATACGTTCGCGCCGCTCGTGAAGCCCCGCAGGAGGGAGGCGGGAGGCCTTCAGGACGAGGCAGGGCGGCTCGCTTCGCTTCCTGCGCTTCGCGCCGATTCGGTTTTTCGACGGCCTCGGATGCCGATTCGCTTCGACCTCGGAGTCCGCTGTGGGCTCCGATCTCTAAACGGAGGCCTGCCAGCCTGCCGGCTTCCGCCGATTCGGTTTCTCTCCCGACCGGGCTGCGGAGTGCCGCCGAGACCCGATTCATCCTCTGAGGGACGGCGAAAACCGACCCCCATCCCCAGTCCCGACTCCCGTCCCCGAGCCGGCGATTCCAGGGGTCGGGTTTGGGAGTGGGGGCGTTCTCTCCCTTCCCGGACCCCGAACCCCCCCCAACACCCCGAGTCTCGACCCCCTGGATATCGCGGGTTCGAGAGTGGGGTCGGGACTGGGAGTGGCGTGGGTTTTCGCCCTCCAGGTCCCGGACCCCCGACGTCGCGATTCTTTCACGACGTCGACCCCCATGCAGAGGTCTGGACCCTTCCCTCCTCCACCTCCTCCTCCTCCTCCTCCTCCTCCTCCTCCTCCTCCTCCTCCTTTCATATCCCGAGTCGTTTTGTTGCCAGTCCCGAGGCCCGGCGAGGGCCCCCAGAGGCCGAAGATGGTGCAAAACACCTCCCGCCGTGACTTTTGTCACGACGCGGGGGGGTGTCTGGGATGCCGCTCTCCGAGCCGAATTTTCGATTCGACTCTGGGCTCGCTCGCCCCCGGAGGGCCGCCCGCGGACGGGGGGCACCCGGCGCAGGGGGGGACTCGGCGGGCTCCGCTGGGCGCGCGGCCAGGCGATCCAGGACTGCCACCACACCGAGGATAGACCCGGCGGCCCTCTGCTCCTTTTCCTCCCCCTCCCTCTCCTCCTCCTTCTCCTCCTCCTCCTCCTCTCCACCTCCACCACCTCCACCTCCTGCTCCTCCTCCTCTCTCCTCCTCCTCCCTCCTCCTCCTCTTCCTCTTCCTCCTCCCCCTCCCCCTCCCCCTCCCCCTCCCCCCTCCTCCTTCTCCTCCCTCCTCCTCCGCCTCCTCCACCTCCTCCTCCTCCTCCTCCTCCTTCTCCCTCCTCCTCCTCGCCCTCGGGATCGGGGAAACGGAAGACTTGAATAAGCCAGAACTCGGGTTTTCGGGCGCTTTTTGACGAGCGTGTTCTGGATTTTTTGGTCTGCGGGTCGAGAGCAGGCCTCTTCCGGTTAAAGCACTAATTGGGGAGACAGGGCGCGAGCGGGCGGGGCCTCAGGCGGCCGGAGGGCGCGGGGTGCAGGCGGTGCCGAAGAGCTTGCACAGGAAAGGTACGCCTTGGACAGGAGCCGGAGGCGAAGTTCCGGAGGGAGAGCGAGGTGGTAAGCGCGTGTTCTGGACTCTGAAGGTCCAGTTTGCGTGGGGTGTTTGCAGCGGGAGGTCGTGCCAAATTTCAGACGTGGCCTCGTCGTTTCCATGCTGGCCCCGTCAGGCCGACCCGAGTCCCCCGAGCCCGAGTCCTACGTTTCCCCGACAGGAGGGGACAGGGTGCTCGGACCGCTGCCCTGCCTCGTCAACCCGAGTCCCCCGAGCCCGAGCCCTACGTTTCCCCGACAGGAGGGACAGGGTGCTCGGACCGCTACCCTTCCTCGTTCTCCCCCTCTTGTCGGGCCTGGGCCACCGGGAGGCCCTCGTCGCCACCCCCGGCCTCGCTTTTCGAATTTCGAGCGCACCCAGGGAGGGAGGAGGGAGGAGGAGGGAGGATGGCGGAGGAGGAGGAGGAGGAGGGCGGAGGAGGAGGAGGAGGAGGAGGAGGAGAAGGAGGAGGAGCGGTACGGGCCCCGCTTCGAATTTCGAACAGTCAGAGAGCGCACCCAGGGAGAGGTCCAGGGAGTATCAGGAGGGAAAGAAACACACAGACACAATTCATCGCAGATTCCCCAGAAAATCAGGAAAAATATGGGAAGTGTGGGGGGAAGACAAAAACCCAGAAAATATAGGAAAAGATGTGGAATATTTATATTTGTGTGTATTTATTTGTGTGTCCCAGGGCCCCTTCAGAGTATCGGTATCGGCACATGTTGGTTTTCCTTTCCACCCAGACGTGGGCGGCGCGCACGCCGTGGGAGCGCAGCCTGCCCGTTCGGTACCTTCTGTTGGGATGCAACTCCTGGGAGGTCAAGCTCTGATTTTGCACTGGTCCGAAGTCCGGCTTAATCCCGCTGAATCCCGCTTAATCTTGCTGAATCCCACTTAATCCCGCTGAATCCGAGGCCCAGTCCAGCGCAATAGCTCCCCAATGGGGCTTCATCCTCCGTCATCTTTCCGACGAGAACCTCTATAGTTGCCTCCTATAGGGGGCCACACGCGAACCCTACCCCTACCCCCCACGATTTCTGAGGGGGAGGGTGGGGTTCACTTCGCTCGGGAGCTTCCGAACGAAGTGAACCCCACCCTCCCCCTCAGAAATCGTGGGGGGTAGGGGTAGGGTTCGCATGTGGCCCCCTATTGCCGACGAAAACCTCTCTCGTAACTTTTGGTGTCCCCCTCTGCCCAGCTGTTGGCGGTGCGCACGTCGTGGGCGCGGCGGGCGTGGTCCGTGCCCGCGCGTCCGCGGCCTCTCGCGGGCTCCGGCCCGCGCGTCCGCGGCCCCGCGGGCGCCGGCTGTGTTTCCTCGCGGGCGCCCCCGCGCGGAGCGCCTCCGTGCGACGGCTCGTCCGCGGGATATCGTGCCCGGAAATCCAGCCGCGTGGCCTTCTAGTGGGCGTCGCCAAATGGAGGGGGGGGGGAAAAGGGGTGCATTTCTCGGGCCCTGGAGGCTTGCCCGCGGCATCGTGCCCTGAAGTCCAGCCGGGTGGCCTTCCAGTGGGCGTCGCCAGATGACGGGGTGCGAGTCGGCCCGGATTAGCAGGTCGACCCTGCCAGCTCAAGGGTGCCCTTGTGTCCTGTGCCTCGCGACACGTGCCTTCTTGCACTCCTATGGCGCTGAAGCCCTCGGAAGGGTCTTGTGTCCTCTCGCGTGCCCTGTCCAATCAAGGCCGACTGTGCATGGAGGGGGGGGAGAGAGAGAGAGGTGCATTTCTCGGGCCCCAGAGGCTCCTTCTGGGCCCTCAAAGGGGTCCCTTTCTTCAGGGGCCCCTGAGGGCTCTTTCTCTGCAGCCCTCGCTTCCCCCCGCCCCCATGCATCCCCCCCCCCCATTTACGCGATGCCCAACTTTCAGAATCGAAGAGGGCCCAAACCTAATTTTTCTGGGCTCTGTCCGCAGTTCTTGATCTGCGCTGGGCCCCCCGCGGCGGCGCCTCTGGCGCTGCCTCTGGCTTGCTCCGCCCGTCAGGGACGGGGGTCCAGCGCCGATCCCACCAGTCTGCGCGGACCTCCAGCACGTTTTTGTATTTCTGCCGTCTGCGGGGGGGACGTCTCTCAAGTCCGGCAGCCTCTCGGGGAAGCCCTCTGGCTTCTGAGAAGCCCTCGCTAGGGGGCCACATGCGAACCCTACCCCTACCCCCTACGGTTTCTGAGGGGGAGGGTGGGGTTCACTTCGTTCGGGAGTTCCCGAGCGAAGTGACCCCCCCCTCCCCCTCAGAAATCGTGGGGGGTAGGGGTAGGGTTCGCATGTGGCCCCCTACTCGCGCGCACCCCTTGTGCGCGCCACCACGGAGATCTGGGGATCTGATTTGCTCCACGCGGTTGTCCGGATCCTGGGCGGAGAGCCGCATCCGGAGAAGCGGTCCAGGATTCGGGGGTGCCGCGGATTGAAGAGATCAGATCGGCGGATGTTTGGAGCCCATGCGCCAGCGGAGGCCCAGAGTAGGTGATTCTTTTGCACAGCTGTGTTCAAGAGCTCGGACCTCTTTATTTTAGTTCGTCGTCGTCGTTCGTTCGTTCGCCGTGATTTACTGCACGCCCCAGATGTATTGTAACCCCGCACATCTGTTTTCGGATGCAACTCCTGGGAGGTCAAATTCTGATTTTGCCTTGGTCCGAAATCCGGCTTAATCCAGCTTGATCCTGCTTAATCCGGCTTCATTCCGCTTAATTTGGCCTAGTCCCGCTTACTCCGAGGCCCCTTCCGGCGTAATGGCTCCCAAAGCCCAAAGCCCAAAGGGGGCTTGATCCGCATTCATTTTTCCGACGAAGACCTCCCAGCAGTTGCCTCCTAATCTGTTGCACCACCCCCTTGTCGTTGGACCCCCTTGGATCAGCCCGACTGTGCTCCCAGAGCCGACGTTCCCGCGAAGGTACAGCAATACATTTGTGCCCCGAGATTTACTGCACGCCCCAGACGCATTGCAACCCCACACACCTGTTGCACCACCCCCTGGTCGCTGGACCCCTTTTTGGGTCAGCCCGACTGTGCTCCCAGAGCAGACGTTCCCTGGAGAGGGGGCCCCGGGCTGTTCCGGACCTTGAAGGAGGGGGGGGGCCAGCCAGCGGCAGAGTGGGGCCCCCTCGGGGGGACTTTCACGGAGGTTTCTGACCAGGCACTGGCGAATGGGGCCAAAGACTCTGCGCCCGTGTGCGTGTGCGTGTTTGTATGTGTGTGTGTGCGTGTGTGTGTGTGTGTGTGTGTGTGTGTGTGTGTGTGTGTGTGTGTGTGTGTGTGTGTGTGCGTGCGTGCGTGCGTGCGTGCGTGCGTGCGTGCGTGCGTGCGTGCGTGCGTGCGTGCGTGCGTGCGTGCGTGCGTGCGTGCGTGCGTGCGTGCGTGAGTGCGTGCGTGCGTGCGTGCGTGTGTGTGTGTGTGTGTGTGTGTGTGTGTGTGTGTGTGTTCGCGCGCGGGTAGGTGTCTGTGCGTGGGTGTGCGAATGGGTGTGCGACCTTTACTACACCGCGCCGCCGCGCGTGGCCGCGACGCCAATCTACATACACTTAATTGTATATAGGTCTGTGCGTACGTATGCTTCTGAGTGTGCTTTCTTCGTCCGTGTGTCAGTGTGTCCGTGTTTTTCCTTCTTGCCTCCTGCCACATCCCAATTTGAGCTCGCACCTTCCTGACCCCCCTCAATTGCAAATCGTGTGGGCCCAAGTCAATTCAGCATCAACGATGTATACCCGCTGTCGGAACCCCGATCACGCCCGATCCCGCGCAATCCGGCTTATTGGGTTTCAACCAAGAGCTGCTCTGATTGATTGGTCCCTTACGTAAGCAGCCTTGAGAGTTCCCTCTTCTCCCATTTCCATCTCACCACCCCCCGCCTGGCGAGGACGGTATCGGCCTGTTCGGTTTCGAGAAGGGTTGCCTGTCCCTGCCGCCCGTGGAGGGCGTACCCGCATTGTTTCATCCGCCGATTGGACTCATCGGCGCGTCGGAGGCAACAGTGTGGGTGTCCGCGCCCCTCTGTCTTGCCTCCCGCCTACCCGGTGCACCTTCCCACGATTCATTTTTATCCTTCCCGTGGCCACAGCATCGGTAGACCAATACGGGTCCGCGTAGGGTGACCCGTAGGACCAGATGTCGTGTTGTATGTGGGTGCGCAACACCGTTCCCCACGTAAAAACACCAGTCTTGTGTCGTTAAGGAACCGCGGTCCACCTGGCATTGGGGTAAGATCCCACGTCTACCGATACTGAGTTATTTCGGTTACTTTTCTTTCTCCCACCCCCCACCCCCCTTGCAAAGAGGAGCGGTGCGTGAGAGAGGGTGATCGTGAGAATGCCTGCGTCATGCCACCTGCCTGCCCCCTGCCGCGTCCCATGATGTTCTCTCCCAATCTCAGGGTGCACATCTTGGGAGGTCGAACCCCGTCGGCGCTGGCATGTCCGTGGTCGAAAACGGGCCGGCAAACGGCATCATCCGGCGCCGCGCGGCTTCGCCCCGCCAGTTTTCCGGCCCAGCCCCGGGGGTTTAGTCCCCGAGGGC